ACCCCCAGACGTCCTAACCCAACGTGCACCTGTAATTGACTAATTCCATTTGACGAGGAACCTTTTGGTTTCTTTAACCCGTCACGCGGTCGGGGACCGAGTCTTTTCGATGAGCTACTACTTACTCTTACACCACCCGTTGGAATTATTACAGTCTGTTAGCGGTAGCTGCCCAAGTTAACCCACGCTTTCCCATCCTGAGGGAGCTAATGCCTAATGCCGTCATCAAGCTGCGTTCGAAGTGGCGACTCTTCGCTTCGGGGCTAAGGCTCTTTTTCTTAATGCTCAAGTGGGGGGGTATAGCCAATGGTAGCGAATGCCAGCCAAGTATATATGACCACTTTAACTTCTTATGCAGGATACATTCTGTCGTGCTGCACGAACTTGGCAAAGTGATCGATATCCAGTTAGACTGATAAGATTTCAATGGTACATTCGGAATATGTACGTGCATAGAGTCCACTTACTATATTCGGTGAGATGGTAGCGTATCCAAAGCTGCGAAGACAGGTTTGCTTGAGCAATCTGTAAAAATAAATAATAAAATGTATTTTGGATTTGGACTTAAAAAATTTGGAAACGTTCGAGGATTTTGTGATAAAAAAAAATAATAAAATTTTCAATATCTTATTTTACATCTAATTGAATGTCAGTATCAGTGACACGATACTGATTGATATCAGTGTCTCTAATTAAATGGTTAATATAATTAAATTTAGAGTTTGAAATGCAATTTGGCTAATGCATAAGAGTTATACCCTTTGGGTATAAAACGAATTATTTGTAAATAAAAGAATCTTCGTAAAAATTCCGGTCGGAGTGTAGGTACAGAGAAAAAGTAACGAATTTATCGAAATTACATTTCCACAACTCGAAGAGCAAAGAGACAAGCGCCAGTTGTAGCTAATAAAATGTCGGTCCTCGTAGGGGTTGAAGAGAAAAAGATGGCGCGCAGGGGCCAACAGTACGGAAGCACAGAGCGAAAAAGTTTTCAGTGCCGATGCGGAGAGAGCATTGTTTAGGGTAACCTCAGGGCAATCCTGTCAAAAGGTACGACTGACGTGGTATAATCCCTTTTGACAGCCGTAATGCCTCTCCGGTGCCCCACGAAAATCCGCCCCTGTTCGGCCTCGGTTGGCATTGATTCCCTCCTCGACTGAACTCCGCTTACAAATTGGCTCTGGAATCAAATTAATTTTTTATAAGGGCCTGCTACTCCGGCCCCTACTAACAAACTACCCCTCAATACCTAACTATGTATAAAACTCTCCCTATGCTGACCGCTCATGACTTGGCGCAAGACCCCCGAAGCCTTAAGTTCGATAACGTGATAATTGTTCTAGAACATTTAATTTTTTTTTTTTTTTTAATATTTCATAATTTCTTTCGAAATCCGACAACGGCCTTCCTTAAAAGGGTCCTACGTAGAAATACAAAAACTAATCTCCCACACGGATTATACCGGGTGTCACTTTTCTGTCAGATATCGTTCCATGTGATATTATCCAAAGCCTCTTCGATCCAGAAACAATCTCATATTTAACTCACACTCGACCGGGCCCTCTGAGACGTTTCACGTCAGGATGAGGATCCAGAAAACTTTTCGAATTTCCCATCAGCCACTGTTACACCCAAGTATCGCGGACGTACAAAGATCAAAGCACTTGTCAGCTCATCTTGTATATCCTAAGTAATTAATCCTAGTGTAACATGGGCTTCGCCAAGGAACCCTTATTTTATCAATAATACAGTCGCACGATGAACGACGAAATTTTTAATTTCGAGTTTCCCCAGAAATTAAATATTTCACCAATCACAGCGCCCCTAACGATTTCATTACGAATTAGCTCGCGCACTTACGAACCTGCTGAAAATTCTCGAGGACCGACTAGGGGGAATCCCCACGATCGGGACGCGAGAGCTTTCATCCAAGAGGTTTTTGGCGGGTGAGCGTAGGGAATCGGTACCACAGGATTCGAGTTAGACATTCGACAGCCTCAAGATACCCATCTGAGATCCACAGCCACTGCTGGTCCAGGCTTCTTCCCCATTAGCAAAGAGAGTAGCTCTTCTCGCTGTTGCTTTCAATAATTTGGGAGTCTAATGTTCCCCCTATCTCTCTCTCCCTCTGTTCGTGCTCGTCTGCCAACAAATAGAGAGAGAGAGAGAGAGAGAGAGAGAGAGAGAGAGAGAGAGAAAGGAGAATGCACACACCCGAAAATCAAGCTTCCAGAGAGATTCCGCCGAGGCCAGAAGGAGGAGACGGAAGTGGAGAATCGAGAAATTGAGGATCCGTCTTGGTGAACGAGGAGGGGCTGCCTGATAAATATCCTCCAGAGAGAAACGCCAAAGAGAGTGGATGCTGTCTGCTGTACCAAGAAAGACCAAGTCCTTAAATTGACAGCCAGCTATTGGAATTACCCAAGAATCCAGGAGCAGGACGTGACGAAGGATTCCGAAGGGATGGTGAAGGACGACGATGAATACTAAAGGGTTGAAAGGACCTCCCCCCTCTCACCCCTCCCATAAACCGCACAATGCAGTGATGCAACTTATCGTTAGTCTCCAACCGATCCCCATGGTCCTGACCCCCGTACAGTCGTACCCGAAATTTAATGAGGGTGACTATTTTTTTTTTTTTTTTT